ACCCCCCTTCAAAGGGGTCTAGCGCCCTTACGCATTGTTGATCGGAACGTTTTTCTGAATTTTTATCCGCAAAATTACCTTCCGGAGTATACGAACGTTATTATTTATGGACCTGTACAACATGATTTTTTCCATTACCTAAACCAAATATATATCCCACTGAACATGAAACCTTCGAGAAACATAGGAATTCTACCCTATATATATTGTCAACTGTTTGAAACGTTACTTGAAACGTAACCCAGACGTTTTGTCTAGGTTTCTCGAATATTTTTCAGTTGAAAGAACGTTTGAACGAAACCAAAATGATACATTTCAAGAAAAATGCACCCATGTAAGAATTCATGTTCTAATGCTGCTTCTACTCTATGATGTTTTATGTTTTTTGTTGTGTTGCCTACACCTGTTCTACATCATATAATAAATACCTATCAGTATAGAAAATCCCGAATCAAAAAACAGCTGCTGCTTTGCTACAATACCACACATTCAATGTTGTTCTGTACTCATAATTATGTTTTACTTCAACGCTCATTCAATTTTCAATATTGTTTATGCCTAAATCTTAGTATCCCGGCTCAAAATATAGATGAGACCGAGTAATATGTATTTCGTATGTCGAATTTCTAGTTGCTAAGGAGACGCGGGTGTGAATGCGGAAAGGGGAAGGATAGGTATCGGTACAAGACAGTACGAGGTCAGAGGGAGTTGACTGAAACGAGACGAGAGTCAATGATAGCTTAGACAGCGTCACTGTTCCTGATTTCTGAATGTATGTGTTTGGCAGTGGTATTCAAACCTGATAGTTAATTTGTGATCCATCGTATCCAGTTGCTTAGTTTCGAGGAGCCAAAAAGGGTCAAGTATTTCATCAAGAATAATTCCACATCCGAAGGAAATGTGTAAATGATATTGCTGGTGAACGGTACGGATTACCATCATGAGAAGCTGTTTACATAAAAGCAGGTAGGATCCATCCTTTTGGTAATCGAATTATATTGGTTGGCTGTATATTCTTTCGCCGTTTTGGGGTACAGTGAATATTGTGTTCTAGAGATATTAGTTGAAAGTGTTCATTATAGGATGTGTTGGACTAGTGTGGACTCGATTAGATTATTATATGCGTTTTGTATTTCTCACATCTATGTGATGGGTAATTGCCTACTGTTTGTGAAATAAGAATAAGTTGTACCTAATAAATTTGTCTGTTTCTACTGTCTATGTATCTTTATTTCAACACCATATCCACTTTCTTTGAAGAGTTGATAAAACTATACAAAATTGGAAACCATTATGAAACGTGTCCAGGACAGTTTTTTTGAAACGCATCCAAGACAGTTTTGTTGGAACGTGCCCATAACGGTTGTCTTGGAACGTGTCTGGGACGATGTTGTTATATATTTACATTCTCTGGAACGTTTCTGACAATCCAGAGAGATTTATGTGGAAAGGTTTCTAATATCCGAAAGACATTTCTGAATTACATTATATCTTCCATTGAATGGTTGAAATAAGTCAAAAACCTGAAAGCCTCAATTCAAGTTTACATGAAAAATGTATTTAATTGTCTAGCTTCAACGGTTTTATTCGTTCTTTTGAATTTGAGTATCATTTATAAATTTTTTATAATTTCCAAGCACAAAGTGAGCGAAGTAACGGCAAAAAGGCAGTAATCAATAATGACAATCACAAACTGACCAATGTTATGGAGAAATTTTAAATGAGATTTTTCCATTGAACACAAAATGTGTTTGCAACATTTTGCAATCTTTGAGATTGTCCATTTCTAATGAATCACCCTGTATATACCTGTATAATTATAATAAAAAATCATGTATATGTAAAGATATATACCTTATAAAAGTACTGTAAGGCATGCAATCTAGAAGAGGAAAAACTATATACATACTACTCATATTATTTACCCATAAAAGTAAACATAACGACCATAAAGATTTGATAAGTAATTTCTAAAACGGATATAAAATATAGAGTTGAATAGTAGGTATAGTTTATCGAAAGTCTATTGGAGCGTCTCGAGCCGCACGTGCACACACTTCAAAAGGAATAAAACTTCAAACCTGCCGACACCGCGCGGTGTGAGAGACGCTCCAATTGACTTTTGATATACTATTAACTAATATATTATGTATATGTATAATAATAACATCAGATATATATTTTCTGTAGTATCACAGCAACATACACAAAACACGTTTCTTCATCAAATATATTATATCTAAATAATTCGTAACAATTTTACTAATAGCTACAATTTTTTTTTGGTCCACTATACTTAGGTAGATATCGAATTAAGTACTTATATAAATAAAATAATTTAAAGCAATCAAAATTTCACAAACTTATACCCACATGCATTTTTGTGCCACAGTCGACGATATTATATGTATATAATTAAATAGGTACCGAATGTGACTTGAGAGATGATAAGGATGCATTTTCAAAATCGTTCTTGGTTTTTCATTTATATCAAAAGAAGTGAATTTTTGGAAAATATTTTTACGTCATTATAAGAGATACAGAAAAACTGAAAATACTATTCTACAGCAACTTTTGATGAGATTTAACGTGATGTCTCGTACTTGTAAAACCATCATCAACTTTATTTTTTCAAATATATACGGTCTTGATTAGACACAGATTCTGAAAGTTTTAGTAAGAAAAAATCAGAGGGTTACAAGCAGAAGAAATACAAAAAATCGCTATTATCTGTTACAGCCGTAGAACAAGTATAGTGTCTAACTTGCACGGAATGTTAATTTCCCACTTGTATGATTTGCAGCATTAGGAGGCTATAGGTAGCAGCGTGGTAGAAGCGTCATTATTTTATTCCCGTTGGATTTCCCGTACGTGGGTTCGATTCCCACGACTGCAGAAAATTTTCGGATGGCTTAAGAAAGTGTTTGATATCACACGAACCCGTCATTCTTTGATCGCACAAGTCTCTTGAAGACTTTTGACGGTTGCTCGTAAGGGGGCAACCAGAAAAAAAAAAACAATTTTAGAACAAAATTTGCCTACGGTTCATGCTGCAAACTTCATTCTCGTGGGAAATGACTATCATTCCGAGCTCGTTAATAAAACAATATACTATTTCATGTCACAATTTTCGGCTGAAGCACAATAAAGCATGAGTAGAAATAAAATAATATACATGTTACAGTTCGCAGTGTTGGCGTTGGCGTTTATTTAGATTGTACTAGATTGAGAAACTCTTCACGAGTTTTGGGATCATCACGAAAAACTCCAAGCATAGTAGATGTTACAGTTTTACTGTTGATTTTTTGAACACCTCTCATAACCATGCACATGTGTCTGAAACAAACAAGAACAAAATAAAGTCCAGCTAAAGTTTGTCACCTGTTGAACGGGTGGGACTATTAACTAATTAACAAACAAAATTTAAAGACGAACATTTTTTGTCTTGACATCCATTTTGAATTCCTAACCCCGCTTCGCTCGGCTATGAACTATCAGCCTCGGCAATTGATCTACTACGTTGCTGCCTTGTAAAACAAATAACTATTTCTCCCTTTGTTTATTCTGAATGAAAAATACTGGATGCATTTCTTCCGCATAAGCACTCTGGGATGAAATATACTGGATTTAATAGTCATCCCATTCGCAGCGGCCATCTGGGATGAAACACATTTTTGAGAAAAACATCCGGTACTACATCAATGTCTACCGTATTTTAAAGGGATTCCACATAGTAATTTCTAATCTTCACAAAAAATTCCATGAAATACGTTATGCTACAGAACTAAATATTTACGCGTCAATGTTAAGTTCAAAATTCAGTAGGCATTCAGCGACGAAATTCACGAAATAGGCTCGTTTGATATTTTCATAAGTGGAAAATGGCTGATTCAAGTTCAGATTCCCCAAGTGATATCGATTGAGTAGCACAAAATGCACTCTTCTCTCCGCCCATCCATATTTTTATTTCGTAACTGGTGTTAAAATGAATATTTCATCACCAGTTATGTAATATTTTACTTTACGCAACTGGTTACGTGAAGTAACTCGTTTTGAAACTTCCAGCAGTTCTAAACAGTGTCAAATTACATGTCAACATTAGGAAGCGCACTGTTTCCCAATCTTATCAGTTCGTTGTGAGCTACTACGCACTCGTAACCACGCAACCAAAAATACAGCAGATTATCGAGTCTCGGTCTATTAACCATTCTAGAACACGTGATTTTGACATGGTTTCTTGAGGGGCACACAAACTATTTGTTAGGTTACCTTTGATGAGCATAGCCCTGGCCATCCCTGCCACATCCACAATATGATAACAGTTTCACCAAACAAAATTATGAAATTCTTTCTGTTTCCAACTCGGATTCCAAGGAAAACGATCCCACTAATTCTGGTTTTATATGACACATCTTGACAAAATACAATGTTTGCCCCTCAGCAACCTGCCAAATGACGTAATTCTGGAATGATTAATTTAGTATAGGCCCGAACAAACCGAAACCGCGGTGTATACCCGAGCCGTTGTTTACATTTTAGTTCAATGCCCGAGCCAATGACGGCTAAATATCTAGACTGTCATTGCCCGAGCGAACCGGTGTAGACAGCAATGTGAGCAATGACAGCATTGACATAAATGAGGTTATTTCCCGCAGATAGGTCACGTGCATGATGACTGACCCTGGAGGTAAAATATTGAAACACAACCTCACTTTTCTGTTAAACATGGAAACACAACCTCACTTTTTCCATTTGTTTACAGAGGAATCAAAGGATTGAATGATTGTAATAGTTTTTCACAATATTATGGCATACGAATAGTGTTTTTTGCGCTATTCATCTATTCGTGCAAGTTTAAATGTGATATGAGATACTCTCTGAGCAACAACACAGTGTGCTATATGCTGCTTTCATAGGTCTTCGTAGAAAATTGCTATTACTTACGTTCCTTCGACGATAACAGCCACCCCTGCCGGCTGCACAGCCTTCGTAACAGCCACGGCGATCTGCTTGGTCAGCCTCTCTTGCACCTGCAGCCGCCTTGAGTAGATCTCCACTATCCTGGCCAGCTTGCTCAGGCCGAGGATCTTGCCGCAGGGCAGGTACCCGATGGAGACTTTGCCGTAGAAGGGCACCAGATGGTGCTCGCACATCGAGAACATCTCGATGTCCTTCACCACCACCATCTCGTCGTGATCTTCGTCGAAGATGGCGTCGTTAAGCACCTCTGAAACAAATGATAGGCAGGTGTAGTCATGGAGTGAGTGGATGAAATAGAGTGGCGACAATAGATCTCAATATGGCTACCGTTTCCGGAATGTCATTCGTGGTCGCTGAATAGCTATAAATATGATGGGTATCTCACATGTAGTAATGAACTTGCGCCTTATAAGTTAATATCCAAGGTAGGTTACTGTCGTATAGAGTTTCATGGCTGATTGTTGGATGTTTTGTGTCGAAATAGCAAAAAATAGAGACGAAGCATTGACAAAAGTGAAATAGAATGTGTAGAACTGAATAGAGACAAAGACAGGTGGATGCACTTCTATATTAGAGGTCTGACCAATCAACAAGTTTTCATTCTATTTATAAAGTCACTCTAGGTATACTTATATGGAGTGAGTAGATTAAATAGTGTTTGTAACTGTTGCAACGTAGTGACAATAGACCCCAAAATGACTATCGTCGTGGTAAAGTCACTGAATAGCTAAAAATCTGAAGGGTATCTCACATGCAGTAATGAATTTTCGCCTTCGAAGTGCCCAACCGATGTTGGGTTCAGATATTTGATTTTTTTTTCATCATCTGAATGATCTGAGACTTACGAGTCCCAAAAGATAGATTCTAATAGCTAATATCCAAGCTACCTACTATGACGTATAAAGTTTCATGTCTGATTTTAGATGTTTTGTGTATCCAAAGCGCAAAAAACAGACAAGGCATTGACAAAAGTGAAATAGATTGCGTAGAACTGAATGGAGACAAGAGAGGCGGATGCACTTTTATATTATTGAAGGTCTGACCGAACAAAAAGTGTATATAACACTATTGTCGTCACTCTATTCATGAAGTCACTCTATGTATAGCTATGGAGTGAGTATAGATTAAATAGTGTTGCAACGTGGCGACAATAGACCTCAAAATGGCTGTTGTCATTCTTGATATGAAGTCACTGAATAGCTAAAAATCATTCTATTTCACTTTGTCAATGATTTGTCTCTGTTTATTGCTCTTTGGGCTCAAAACATCCAACGCAATCAGACATTAAACTCTATACGTCATTAACTTTGATATTAACTATTAGAATCTATCTTTTGGGACTCATAGGTCTCAGATTATTTAGATGATGAAATAAAAATATCAAATATCTAATAAACCTAACATCAGGTTAGGCACTTCGGAGGCGCAAAATCATCACTGCATGGGAGATACCCTTCATATTATTAGCTATTCAGTGACTTGACCACGAATGACATTCCGGAAGTGGCAGTCATTTGAGGTCTATTATCGCCCCGTTGCCACTCTTATTGATCTACTCACTAGATCATTTTTATATACAGAGTGTTCCTATTCCTATAAATGGCATGTGATTGTTTGAGGAGGTATAATTTCTTGGCTTATTGCAGGACTTCGAGTCATCAAAGTTGAAAATATGGATAGATTTTTCTTTTGATCACTCTGTATAGCTTTCAATGATGGCAACAGTTTGGTCTGTTATGTGACTGAATTATAGTAGAAACATTTCAGAATGTATATATCATGTATGTCCAGGAACAGATGTCTTGAATGAAGTATTCAGTAGTTAGGTATTTACTATTTATAAACAAAAAAATAAGGAGTCTGGTATTGTTTTTCCGGTTTTTTCTCCATAACTGTGTGTCCTTTGTCCTATAATCTATGGTCCTATTAAGTTTCAACAAGAGGTATTTTTTATACAAAATCTAATGGCCTTTTACAGATTTGTAAAAAAATTGTACATTTTCCTTCGTTGCCCACTTCATAATAAAAAACAAACAATAATATCCCCTTTTACTCTGCGCCACTGGAAATACGATTGACGGAAAGTTAGCAGTGTTATCACTATTCTATTTGCCCTCAGGGTCAGACCAATTCATCAAAATATTTTTGATTTTTGCTAAGCGGTTGCTGAATGGACGACACATCAATTTTCATCATATTTTACATCTTGTAACTTGAAGACGAATCAAATTAGGACACATAATGCTCATAGGAGCATCAGAAATCACCAGTGATGTAATATCTAGAGAAGATCTTGAGAGATACTTAGGGAGTCAGCTAATCTTTTTTTCCTTCTCTTTTCAGTTCTACTGATGATAGTTGCCAAAATGGGTGTATATAGACTTTTCCAAATAGTGATGTGATATTTTGTATAGGTATTTTTTTCTACAAGCGTGCGTGATTCACCCTATACCCTCACGCAATTTAGTTTGGGAAGTATCATTTTCCCACAGTAGTGGGGGAAATTTTTTCCCACACTAGTGGGAAAATGAAGAAATATTGAAAAATAATAATAAAATTGATTGCTATATAAATCCCTCTATAGCCTTTTATTGATCTGATGTGGGGAACAATTGTTGTCATGTCAATAAAAACACAAATTAGTTAGTATTAATCTCAGAGTGGCAGACAGAGCGTTACTGTCATTTTCGATTCAGTGGAATTGTGATGAAAAACTTCCAGCTACAGATGCGATACAGATGAGTTATTGCCAACAAAGTCGTGAAGCACTACACGGGATATATTGATCGAATGGTGCAAAAGTAAAAAAGTGAAAACACCAAATGAAGCAGAAGTATCTTTGGCTCATTTCCTAGAAATATCTGAAACCTGGAGGCCAAACACCATGGGCATGCTGGCTTCCGCAATAAGCTTACCTTCATATGATGCTTCAAACGGTACACACAATAGATATATAACTAATTATTAGAAGATAGAGAATATATCACAATTGTTAGTTGTTCCTATTCGCAGAGGTAATTGATTGAATGATTGAACAAATCAATAATTTCCTACGCTTGTAGAAAAAGAATTGTTCCTCACTGATGCGGAAAGTGTCTTTCCCGCACTCGACTGCTTGCCCGAACTCCGCTTCACGTCGTTCGGGTCAACGGCATTCGCGTGCGGGAAAGTATGACTTTCCGCACATATTAGGAAAATTACTATTTTATTATACTTCTTTGAAATCACCATATTATCATCTATATCAGTAATATTGTAAGATGGGCTTTTTCGGGTTAGCGCACGGAAACAGCACGGAAAAACTTTGAGAATAATCATAGAAATGAATCATACATGCCAAACACTGTATTGTTAGCATTGTTTATTCTCTGTCAATCAAATTTATGCCAACAAAATGAAAATTCCCGATAATATCCTAGAGCAAGCGGTACAAGCGACCGCGAATTTATTACCAGTAAAATCCAGGTCTATAATAGTTTCATTCCTACAACTGTGAAAATAAAAATGTTCCAAGTTTCTTTTGTGTCTTTTTTATGCAATATTTTATTGTTATATTTTTATTTTCAACGAAGTGTAATAAAAAATATCGTTCATTACACGCCCAGAAATGATTTTTCCGTACTTGCATCACTTTGACACACACGCACGAAAAAATCTCTATTTCCAGACTCGTAATGAAATATACTATTTTAACCACCCTTCAAAACTTCAATTTGTATAGGCCCCTAAAAGTTACCCGAAAAATTAATTCATTCGGCCTGACGGCCTTACTTATCACTTTTGTTATTACCTACCAACTAATAATAATATAATGTAGCAATATCGATTTGATAATAAAGATATGAGAATGGACTAGTGGGTCAATGACATGAATACGTTAAATCAACTAATTGGATGTTGAATGCCTATATAATTTGTAATAGTTACACAAAATCCTGTGATTCGATGCAATTTCATTAATCAGTAGAATAATATTCGATACCTAACATTTCAATGCTTCCTGTATATTTTGTTTGACTATTTCACTCACCCTTGAGATTCTTACATGATCTGACCAATCACAAGACAAAAACAACTTGTGTTAACGCGAAAACACTAGCTGTCTTTCAATTCTGATTGGTCTAACAGCGTTAGAATTTTCAACGATGTAACCATTTGATAGCAAAAGGAAGTATCAGTTTGACATAATAATTATAGCTGTAGATGCAGTGCTTTGGCTATGTGGCTTGTTCATTTATATAATGAATGCTTATAATGCTTCGTGAAATCGTCTAGCAAAATACCACTCTGTTCTCAATATCTCGCCATAATTCTGTCTCTCATAGTTAACTCAATTGTGTTGCGGTACAGCAATACCACTCGTCCTCGGGAACATAATTTAGTGAACAATGAAGCGACAGAGTTATCTCGAATATTTATGATAATATGACGTTTCAGCTGGACGCATTCAGTTTTCCCAAAGCATTTTGTTCCTACCATTGAACGTGATGATCATTCAAATCATTCGATGAAAATGTGGGAAAACTGGGAAATCTCTCGGGATCAGATAGAACCGGAAAAAAATAGATTATTATTATGTTGTTTAACGAGCACGGATTGATAGTGATTTCCTATATTTCCACTATAATTTTTCTACAGCTATAATAAATAACAGCGGCATTTTCGATTTCTTCGTCAGGTAGCCATCCGATTTCCTGTCAAGTAATGCTCATCTATTAGATAGAGCTGTCATTGCTTGAAAGTTGACATTCCATGGGCGATGAGTTTTTTTTTGTTGAAATAATAACACAATGGAGTCATTGTGATATCAGATACGGAAATAAAATTGATGATATACAAAGTACCTCATTGTCATTGATGTATCGAACACAGTAAAACAAGAGCAGTCTTGTGTTATAGCCGTAAAAAAAACGAATTCTTTTCCTCGGAACCCAGTGGCGTATACAGTTTAATTCTATATGGGGGGGCGGGAGGAAGGGGGTAATTCATATCACGAGGGTGACAGAAAGCAAAAAAGCGCCGCAGGTGAAACTTGTCTCTAAATTGATAGTTAGGGTTGTCAGCGGGGTTGAAGGTTGGAAAAAATTATTTCAAATTCAGTTATTGTTATTTTGATAATAACCAGCAAAATTCGAATTATAAATGTCAAGTTTACTTACGACCCAAAGAAATGTTTGAGTGGATTTTGGGTTAGACAATTGAACGA